TCTTTGGTCCAAACACTCACACCTTTGGGTTAGTAACCTTCTTTGGTTCAAATACCCTTTCTTCGGTCAAATACTGCTTGTTCATTCAAAGTACCAAATCTTATTTGGGTTACAACCTTCGCATGATTCCACACCCGTCCTTTTGGATCACAACCTTCGCTTGGTTCCACACCTGTCCTTTCGGTTAACCACTGTTTATCAGTTAACACACGAGGTCTCCTGAGAGTCAAACACCTTCTCTTGGTTCGTTACTCTCCTTCTGGGTCATCACAGTCCGTCTGTTGACACCAATCTTTTGCTTTCCCCATAAAGTTTTACTCTTATCTTTCTTTAGTTAACCACTTCCTGCCAGTTAATGTACCGAATCTCCTTGGATCTTCCTTTAGCTTTATTTTTGTCCTTTATTCCTTTATTATTCTAGTTTCGACATCATTCTTTTGTTTTCTCTCTAGTGGAGTCACTACCATTCTCTCGTGTTCCTTGGCAGAGTCTTCATTTGCCTTTCTTTCTTGGTTTTGACACTATTCTTTTGCATTCCCCCAGTAGGGTCTTGTTACCTTCTTTTGCTCTTAGTTTTGAAACTATTTCTGTTTCCTATTCCTTCTCCGTCCTTGTTCTTCGAACTACGTAGGCTCTGGATTCCTCAATGCACTATGAGGATACGTAGGCACAGGATTGTGAAATCTTAGCGAGCCACTTTCTTCCACCTTCTCCTTTCTCTTTCCTGGTTCCATAAACTATAGAGCACTAAATTCCTCATTGCACCACGAGGATACGTAGGCACGAGGGCCCCAATCCTCCGCGAGCACTTCTTTCCCTCTTTATCCTTCTCTCTTTCTCTTTCTTTCTTTTTTATCTATTTTCTTTCCTTTAGCTAGTAGTCTTTAGATAAATAACCCATCCAAGCCTAGAAGTAAGTAAAACGGTTCCCGTCAAGTACGACGGATGCGTGAGGTGCTAGTACCTTCCTCTCGCATAACCGACTCTCTTATCCGTTTCTCTTTCCTTTGAGTTTTATCGATATTTTCCCCGTCGTTTGGGACTAAATAAAGTTTGGTGGCGACTTTATTGTATCTTTGGGTGTGCGATTCACTCAGGTATAATCCCACTAGCTTCATGTTCGACATGAGGTCAGGTGATGATTGGAAATCTTTAATAAATTGACTTACATTTTTACAATCATCAATTATACTTTCTTTAATAATATTTGTTCCGTTGTGGAACCATAATTGATGTTGATTGTTGACATAGGACTCTGGAATCAATAATGCTGATCTCCAGTAAGGTGGCACGAGGTGGACGTGTAAGGTTAGCACTCTAACACCTTAGTCAGTTTAGAGTCTAAGAAAATTATGGTAAAAAATGGAGTTCAGAAAACATACCTCGAACATCATGTGTGCTGACTTTATATGTTGGATAATCATGACTGAGTTTGTGTATGATTGGACACTTTTATTGGGCCTTTGGATGACTCAAAACAGTTAGCCCAAGGTTTGTCTGATGTATATTAATCGGGAAGTCTTTTGGAGTCATGGTTGGCCTCTGGTGTTCATGTCTGGCCATAAATGAGCACGATGATTGTGGGACAACTATTAAAATAGTTATGAACAACTGTATTAAAATTTATCCATCATTGAGACATTTTGCCACTTCCAACAAGTGTGTGGCTATAGGTCAAGTTAGGAAGTCGTTTCCCTAACTAGAGTATTCAAGTGCATTTGGATCATCAATGCTTCTGACTGAACGATCACTTTGGTCACCTTAGATCTTCCTTCAACTTCTAATATGAATAGTTGATTTGCTCCTGATTTCCTTATAAAAGGTTGGATATTGATTAATAACTTATTTTGCTTCATTTGTTATTCAAAGTTTACTCCCTCCTCCTAGGTTCAGTGTCTTGCTCGCTTGCTCCGACACCTTAAACCCTTTACTGCTTCCTCATTCATGGATTGTTCTTTTCTCTTCATTCTCTTTGAAGGTGTGTTCTCGTTTTCCCCCTGTGTTGTTATGGGTAATCCATGAGATGTACTTATCAACAATTCTCTTGAGTTTTCTAGTGACGAACATTCATCGTCTACATGAGCTAAGAATCCCAAACTCACAAACCTCTTATACGGGATAAACTTTCCCATCTTTGTCCCGAACCTGCCGAGTGGTAACTCTGGGTCGAGGTTGGATTCTTCTGGTGATAAGTGAGGTTCCTTGATGAGTGGAGTTAATGTTCGTGTTGTTTCTCTTGTCCGTGCCAAATTTAATTTGGATATTGTTTTATCTAAGATAAGAGAGCGGGAGAGTGGTTCCTCCATTCAGTCTCTCGAGAAAAGCCCTCCCTGCCAGTGTTATATTATTGCTTACCATACTGATTCATTTTACAATGCAGAAACAAAAATTGTTCGATTTGAGGAGTTATATTCGTTGATAGATTTATGAGTTTATTCTTGGGTATAACATACATATTTAGGAATAATTGTTTCTTATATATAGGATGTTGTTGTGGATAAGGCTACCTTCCAGGTGGGGTAATCCTCTGATTGGTCAATCTCTACCATTCACATTAATAAGAGGATATGCATCAAATTTGATGGATGCTTTATTCCTTTGTATGACTATACTCTCTGGAAGCTAAGTGTATGACTCCCACTAACCGGTTTTTACAAGGAGGTCATATGTCTGTTGAAACAAGTTTGGTTTTGCAAATATCTTTGAGTTTTGATGATTAAATTGTATAGATATAATTTTGTACTCTAATTATTTTGTTAAGTTTGCAGATAAAAAAAAAACCAATTTTGACTCTGGAAAAGTGAACTCTGCATGTATCAGAGTCTGAACTGTAGGTGTACTCTGAACCAAAGGAAGAAACAAATGTGTGTTTAAATGAAAGTAAAACATTTGGATTACCACGTCAATGTTTTTGCAAGAATTTATCCAAAATGACTTTGATAAAGACTCTAATAATTCAAGCCTTTGAACTCTGTAGACTCTGAAGTCTCATTCTAACCAGATTCTGAAGACAGACTCTTAATATTATTCAAGCTTCATCAACTTAGATACGAAGTCTCTGGCTAGAAGTTAATGACTAAAAGTCAATGACTGAAAGAAAAACATGTGTCAAAAGTATAATCGATAATATATCAAATATTCTTTCCCCTACCATGAAGATCAGGAGAAAGGATTGTACTATTGTACAAACGTGGTTCTTTTTGTCTCATCTTCACCCACTATATGTTGCAATCGCCACTTTACTGTTGTAGAATTAAGTGGCCTTCATACAACTGCGATATTGGGGATATTCCTTTTCCACCCTCCAATAGATCTATTCTTCATCTATATAAAGAGGTCTTGGAAGTTTGAAAAATAACTGATTGTGAAAAAGTGCTTTAATGCTAAGAAAACTATCACGTTCATACACTTCGTACATTTTTTTGAATATATTTCTTAAGTGTAATATCTGTTTTTAACTTGTGTACTTGCTTATTTTAGAAGCAACTTGTAAACACAATCTTGTATTTTTAACCTTTGATTAAATACATGGGGAGACTAGGTTATAGTTAGGACTCTCAAGAAGTCTTTGATAGGTTGTCATTAAGTTTGTAATAAAGTCTTTGATTAGTGAATTAAGTCTTTATTGAGACTGCAAAATCATCGGGTGGAGTGCACGTAGCTTAGTTAACAGTGTACCAAAATAAAAATAATTGTGTTTTTTTATCTTTGTTGAATAATTATTGTTTGTGTTTTTGAGTAGCTAAAAAGTTTTAATCTATAAATTCAATTAAAATCCCCTTTCTTGTGTTTTTTGAACCTTTAATTGACATTAGAGTTCCGATTTTGGTATTGATTATTTTATATCAAACACTTAACCGTGTTAGTGAAAGATCCAGTTCTTAAAACACATTATGGCAGCTATTAACAATGAAAAAGATCACTACTATGCTAAACCTCTGGCCTTTGATGGAGATAAGTTTGATTATTGGAAGGATAAAATCAAAAGTTTTTTTCTTGGTTATGATGCAAACTTGTGGGAGATAGTCATAGATGACTATACTCATCCTCAAGATATAAATGGTGCTAAATTGAAAAGAAGTAATATGAATGGCCAACAAAAGAAAGATAACTCAGGAAAATCAAATTCAAACAAGATACATAAGTGCACTTCTGTAAAACTTGAAAATCAAATGGCAGAAAACACATAAACCAACATGCCTTATGCTATAAATGTCAATGTACGTCTCAATAAACTATGTATTATGAGTGTAGCAACAATCTATTCAGTAATGCATGTATCACAAATAAAAAAAAGAATTTTTTTTTATTAAATATGAGAAGTAGAATCTATTGAATTGAATGGACTGAAGTAGAGATTTGAAACTCTTGAATTAGGTGCAATATAGTAGAAGTCAGGAGAAATGTTGAAAAAAAAGGTGGAAATGAGGTTTCTCACTCGCATTTCTATTTTGGTTTAGAGTAAACTAAAAATAATAGGGTGACTTCTCTTAAAAGTGTTGTAGCGTGGGAGCACCACTAAAAATACACTAAAGAATTCCTTTATTTATCACTTCTTCAAAGTAAACACAAGTATATAAAAATAGAATGTAAATGATTTTATTATTTTAACTATACAAAATAGAAACAAAAGTTCATAAGATTTTTGGATAAGTTTTTGAAAAGGTGATGACATCGAGCCGCGCACACAGAGATTCTAATGATGAGAAAACACAAGTGTGTGGATTACTTTTTGGTTTCCTTCTCCTCCAACTATATTGGATTACTTAGTTCACAAAACAATCAAACACACACTGTTATTTCTCATAAATCTTTAATTATGAGTAATGTAATCTTTGATGTGCTCGAGAAGAAAGTTTAAGCAAAGCCAATAAGTACTTTTTCATTTTCAAAATCTCAAGTCTCTTCATTTTCTCTCATCACTCACTCTAGTACAAATAATCTTATCTGTGATTCAAAATATTCACTATCACCATCCATATTCAGAAGCTGTGATAACTATGGGTGTACCAGCGTTTTACAAATGGTTAATCAACAAATATCCGAAGGTTATTGAAGATGCTAACATCAACACTACTCCAACTGTGGAATATCATAATCTTTATCTGGACATGAATTCCATTATCCACCCATGTTTTCACCCTAATGATGATAACATAAATGTTCGTTACTCTCACTCTCTCCTTTACTTCTACTACTTCTCTCTTTCTTAAACCCATTAATATATTAATGTCTTTCAGAGTTGTCCTCCAACAACATTTGTGGAAGTGTTTGCAAATATGTTTGATTACATTGATCACCTTGTTACCATTGTTAAACCTCGCAAGCTATTGTACATGGCTATCGGTGAGTCTCTCACTAACCCTACATCATGCTGCTTTTTATATTTGTTTGAACAAATAATTCAACAAACAAGGTTTTTGTTTGTGCTATATTATTGATCAGATGGAGTAGCACCACGAGCCAAAATGAATCAGCAAAGGACAAGACGCTTTAGAACTGCTAAAGATGATGAAATGCGTGTAAAGATTGATTCCATCTATTATTAAAAAATGGTTTCTTGAGATTATGATCATGGTTGAATGATAGAGCTTTGGTGTTTATTTTTATAGGAAGCTGAGGAGGAGAGACTGAGGAAGCAGTTTGAAATGGAAGGAAAACAAGTTGTTCCAAAACAAGAATGTGAAGTGTCAGATTCTAATATAATAACACCAGGAACTGAGTTCATGCATCAACTCTCAAAGGCTCTTAAAACCTATATCTCTTCAAGAATATCCTCTCATTCATTATGGAAGGATATTATGGTAATATAATAACACTATCTTCTTTTGCATATATAATGCAATACTAATTCACTCTATCTTCTTTAATAGTATTAAGCTACTTTTTTTAATGTTTTATACTTAGGTAATTTTATCTGATGCCAATGTTCCTGGAGAAGGGGAACATAAGATTATGTCATTCATAAGAAAACAACGCGGACTTCCTGATTATGATCCAAACACTGTCCACTGCTTATATGGCTCGGTACTGAAATCAAAGTTTTTTTTAGCAGGTCTATTTCTTAAGAGTGTTGAAATAGTTGAGCTAATTTTGTTGATTTTTGAATGCAGGATGCTGATTTGATAATGCTTGGATTGTCAAGCCATGAGCCTCACTTTTCAATTATACGAGAGGTTATCAATAGACTATACATTAAATCTTCTATAGCTTAACAATACGAGAAATATATTTCATTGCAATTTATAAAGCTTTAACGTGTTACACACACTAGACATAAAACTTACAAATTGATTATAGTTTGAATACATTTTGCTGATGTGGTATGTGCATAAGAAATTCCTATATTGTACAGGATGTTCCTAATTTTTATGATAAGGTGGAACAAAATGCTGTTAAGAGGTTCAAGGTAAAATAATATGTGATTTAAATCTATAACTTTGAAGTTGATGAGTAGATTTTAATTTTCAGTATATATACTTGGTTGCAGCTTTTGCATATATGGTTGTTGAGGGAATATCTTGAACTAGACATGAAGATACAAGATCCTCCCAAAAATTGCATTGTTGATTTTGAGCGGATAGTTGACGACTTTATCTTTATTTGTTTCTTTGCTGGAAATGATTTTCTTCCCCAGTTGCCCTCTTTGGATATTTTTGAGGTAGTTATTAACTTTTTCCCGAAGTTTTAAGAGTTGAATGAATTTGAATGTAGAGATGATATTATGTGTCTACCTATGGTTATTTGTTTTGCTCCATTTTGTTTAGGGGGCTATTGATTTACTTATGACTGTTTACAAGAAAGAGTTTCATAAACTTGGAGGATATCTTGTCGACATAACTAAGGTAACACTAACAATGTTACATTCTGGTTTATTTTTTTTACTATATCTCATTATTATCTCAAAGTTTTAATTATTTTATTTGACATTGATTTGAAATCAGATGGGGGAGAAGCATAGTGTTTTTGTGAAGCTATCAAGAGTTGAAAAATTTGTAATCATGGTAGGTACATATGAAGAAAAAATCTTCAATAGAAGAAGTGCAATTAGAGCCAAGAAACTGAGAAGACTTATTACTGATCATGAAAACTCAGTAAGTTCCAGTATGCTGTTTGAAAATGGAGACATGAATTATACATTCGTAAATTCATGTGATTCTGTTGTCTTTTCTTTCAGAAGCAAGATGAACAGGATGCGTGTAATTTCATTGATATTGAGAATGAAAATAGTTCAGATTGCGCTCTTCGCATTAAAAAGGCAGCAGCCTCCAACAATATTTGTCCCGTGTCAGATGAAGAAGTATACATATTGATTAACAGTTGAACACATTATTGGAGTTTGATGATGTTGTATTTTTGATAATTTTCTTGATTGTTTTGTTTTTAGATTTTGAAAAACACAAATGAATTGAAAGACGAGATAAGGAAATGCATAAAAGAGAAAGGGGACTTGTATAAGAGTGGAGATTACTTGACAGACAAGGTAAACACTTTACCCCCCAAAAAAACCTTTAAAATTTTGTTTTTCAACTTTACTTTGTTCTTAAATAAATGGATATGAAGTTTTCTTATGTTACATTCGAACTATGATTGATTTGAAAGTGTTGTTACAATTCATTTTAGATCAAATTGGGAACCGATGGCTTTAAAGAAAGATATTATAAGGAGAAATTTTCTGTGGATGGTTCCACCAACATTGAAGTAAAAAGGAAAGAAGTAGTAAGTTTTTCTCTTCAATGGTTTTGTTTTTTTTTTCCTTCTCAAATTCTAGAAGCACCGACACTTGCAACGAAATTGTAGGTCCAGAAGTACACTGAAGGATTACTGTGGGTTCTTGAGTACTATTTTTCAGGTGTTGCATCATGGACATGGTAAGTTACAACATTTTTAAGAAAGACTTTTTTCTTCTTATGTTTCTTCGATTTCAAGTGTGGAAAATCAGAAGTATTGCACATTAAATGCAGGTTTTATCCATTTCACTATAGCCCATTTGCTTCAGACTTTAAGGGCATGGGTCAAGTGAGAGTAAAGTTTGAGAAAGGTGTTCCATTCTTGCCTTTTGATCAACTCTTAAGTGTTCTTCCTCAAAGGAGGTAATTTTCTTTATTACGTTATCTTTTCGACTGTCACATTTAATATTATCAAACACAGACACCCTACATGTACTGCCGATTCTATGCAGTGCTTATGCCCTACCCAAAGCTTATGCACAGTTGATGTTGGATGATCAGTCTAAAATATTTGACTTGTTTCCTCAGCGTAAGCTTTTTTTTTTTAATGTTTAATTGAACTCATTTTTTTTTTTTGATGAAAATGATATGTTGATCTTGATTTCATGATTTCTCGATTTGTTATTCTGTTTTTCTCATTTTGTAGAATTCGAAGTTGACATAGAAGGGAAGCGCTTCAGATGGATGGTAATCTCACTCAACCTATGCCAAACTTATGTTACAAGTTTTTGTTATGTATGCTGTTTTGAAACTTTCATTAACTAAAATTTTTTGTTTTTTAAATAAGGGTGTATGCAAACTTCCATATATCGATGAAAGAAGGCTTTTGGCTGAAACCAGAGAACTCGTAAAGGGACTATCTGTATGAATGATTTTCTTTTCCAGAAACATTTGATTCTAGTGTTTAGTGAATATCATCTATGTCTTTAACTGTGTTTTTTTTTATAGGAAAATGAAGCAATGAGAAATTCTGTTGAAGTTGATAGGTTGTTTGTTAGTAGCACTACCAAGTTGGCAGAAAAAATTCGCTCTCTAAGTTCAAACAAGTCAGATACTAGCATAAGTGATGGCATTGGAGGCATCATAAGTCTTTGTCACATGCGTGTCGAGGACAGACAACAAGAAGATTTTGTCTTGTATGCTAACTAAAATCATCATATCATCTTGAAAAATTTATTTAGCATCTAACTTTAAACGTTTTTGTAACACTTTAATATTGCTTTATGCTGCAGCTGTGTCAAATACGAGCTACCTGTGAATGATGCAAGTCATTATCAGCATTTGCTATTTGGTGTAAACCTTCCTGAGAGGGTAAAATCCTTGTTGCTTAATTGCTAAGCAAATTTCTGATTAAGAAAAATGATTAGCTGCTGAAATATATAAGTTATCTGGCATGCAGACAGTATTTGAAAATGACATAAATGAAACAGTTCTGTGGCACGAACATCAGCAATATCCTAATCGTTTTGAAAGGTGTGGCATATCATTTTTCTCTTTTTTTCTCATACTTTGTTTTTGGTAGTTTCTTTCACCATGTAAAATGCAAAAAGTATACCATAAACAGCCGGTTTATGGTGCAGGCCGTGTTCTCATAATCAAGACAGTTGGAGAAGTTCCAACAGAGAGGCTAGTACTTCAAAATTTCCACCTAATAGAACTACTTTTGGTGGAAGAAGCTTTTCACAAAATGCACCTCATGAATTCATCCACAAAGGTGGAGGTGTTGGATGGGGTTCAGGTAGAGGAAAACCAGAAAGAGTTAATCATGAAACTCTTAATGATCGAATGTCATCGTTTTCTCCTTTTCACAAACAACAATCTAATGATCATGGAGGATCTTACTATCGTCATCAATATTTGAATAATGTGCCTTATGGTTGGGGACGAGGTAGGACACATCAGAACTCGAATAATGTGTACTCATCGATTGAATCGAAGGATAATGTGCCTATCGGTCGGGGACGAGGTAGGACGCATCCGAACTCCAGTAACTCATTGCGGCCTCAATGGAGTGAATCAAATGATAGAAGTCGTTGGTAGAAAGAAAGCTATCTCAGAATATTACCTTTTTGGTTTGTAAAGTGTTTAAAATATGCAGATTTTTGTTTCTCCATTGCTAGTGTGGATGGTTTTGGTGATTGAAATGGTCATTTTGGCTTTGGGTTGTAACTTTAACTTCATTTACAAATTGTTTATTTCTTGACAGTACTTATTTTGTGATAATTGTTAATGATGCAATTATTCTATATTTTAGAAAGATATGATTCTATTAAACATCAGCAATAAAAAGTTAATAAAATAATATAAAAATTTGTAGGACCATTTCATTTTAGGGAAGGTGAAACTTAGAGCTGAAGCACATAAGTCTAATTGGTTCCAAATTTTTGAGAGGTTATGTGTAAAAATTTAATGTTAACTTCATTTAAGTCGTAAGTTATTTTTAAAAAGTCCTATTTAATTTTGAATAATGTGTATGAATGTCCTTTTTATCATAGTATATTCATGAAAAAAATATGAAACTGTGTTTAGGTTGCCTTGCATACTCAAAGATGGCTCTAATGTTAGTAATGGGTGGAGTGTTTCCTTGTTGTATAAACTCTTATGAATATGAATATCTCATAATGTGGTTCCATTAAACATACAATATTATACCGAAAAATACTTCTTCAATATGGTATTAGAGTCCTTTCTTCCACCATAGCCTGATGCCAATTGGTATTAAAAGTTAATGATTTCAGGATCTTTTATTTTGTGTTGAAGAAACCTTGCCGCCCATAGCCACATTGGTGGTCTCTGTTCACTGCAACTACGCATTCGATCGCATCCGCACCGCCTTAACTAGATTTGCAACCTTCTGGCAAATTCATGTGACGCAACGCCCACCTTCGGTCGATGTCATACACGCTGTGTAACACCCTTCTACTCCACAAGCATTCACGATAATTAAAAATAACTATATCAGAGTATATCATCGCAAGGGTGCCACATTTCGTCATAAAATCACAATAACGTCTTACTCCGTAACACAAGTTTTATTCATCATTATTTCAATGAATTACTACGCCGCGGAAAGATTCAAAATCACAACATAATTTGTAATTCAAAGAGTTTTTAAAACAAGAACTCATAACTTCATGATGTTTACAACAAAAGAACACAACGGTTCCACTCAAACGTTCCGACCCGATGTTACATATCAGAGCAAGACCATGTACTCGACAGAAATAACCGAAATACTTCAAGTCAGTTCTTCACGCACCAAGAGCTAATCCTGATCACCTACATGTTACCCACGTGGAGGCAACATTCAAACAGGTAGGGTGAGTAATCACAAATCATTATACAAGATATAAAGATAAATATATTAAGATAACATTCATCATACAAAAGCAACATCATCATGAAATTCATGCATCATCATTTGCCAAGTATTATACTCACACCTTCATATCATAGTATCATATATACATCTTCATTCATAAAGTCATCAAATCAACAACTCATCACCAAAGCATCACTTAAGTCACAACATCATCACACGTCATTTTAAAATCATCTCATCAATAATAACAATCATTCACATAGATATAATGCAACAACGTAGACTCATGCATGTGGTACCAAATCAACATGTTGATGGATACTGGGCCATCACCCTCCAAAAATCCCCATCAATAGGATCGATTCTACACAAGAACCGAAGAACAACATAAATACTCCAATCCACACAATGGGATTGAAGTCAACACTGGACCAAAGTCCTATCAACAGCACTGGACCGAAGTTCTATCAACAACACTGGACCGAAGTCCTACTATGCTATGAATGCATGATGCACTACGGCATAATCAACATCATCACAGGATCGTCAAGTTGCATCATCATTCATGAAAATTCATCAAAACATCATGGTATTATGTCATCATTATGCATCATAAGTCTTCATATTACATCACAAATCAACACGTTATACTCATCACATGTCAACCACTCAAGGCATACGAACAACAAGGCACAAGACAACACAACAAAAGAAAAAAAACTACTCCTGCTCGCCTGGTGCTCGCCTAGAGAAGCAACTCGCTTGCCTGAGTTTCGCCCGACGAAGCTGGGGCAAATCCCCTCCTTCATATAAAAAACCAGGAGCACTCAGTTTCACCCTCTTCTCGCTCCCACTTTCGCCTGGCGAGGCTGGGGCAAAATTGCTTCGCTCAACGAAACGAAAGTTCACCCGACGAAAATGCGCGAACCTGCAACTTCTCAGTTGCGATTCTGCATCAGTTCAGACCCAAAATAGCTTGCAATTTTAACACAATTCAGTTTAAAAATAATCATCAATCACGACGAAATCAACACAATAACAACAACACATCATAATAAGTTTCATACATATCATCTCATACAACTCATACCCCAATTTTATCATAAATCCCATCATTCTCTAAAATTTCCAACTACCTACATACATCTACCCTTACATCAATTATAATGATAAATGATACTTCTCATACCTTCGATAATTTGATTCCAATTCCTCCTCTTGAGTTCTTCCGAAATCCCTCTGAGCCATAGTTTCCTCTTCTCCTTTTCCTCAGAACTCTTTCCAACTTTCACGATCGTACCAAAAATATGACTTTATCCACTATCTCTTTTTCCTTTATGTCACTCTTATCCCTTGGACCCTTAATATGATTTCCCAAATTTATCCTCACTTATTTCACCCAACTTTACCATATTGCGCTTAGTGTTCCAATTATTTATTTAAAGTAATAATAATAAGATATTCACATTATCCCCTATTATTATTATTATCAAAATAATTCTAATAGATCATATACTTCTAAATATCCTCAACACCCTCTTAACATCAACAATACCTCCCAACACAAATCATCAGACATCAAAATATTTCACCAAAGTTCACCAAAAATCACGAATATTTATAATAAATAAATTAAATAAATATTCTAATTATTTTGGGATGTTACAACTCTCCCCCACTTAAAGAATTTTCTTCCTCGAAAATTACCTGAAGGAAACATAGTCGGATATGACTCCCTCATCTGATCTTCACGTTCCTAAGTTTAACTCTCACCAGCTGGTCCACCCATAACACCTTCACCAAAGCTATGTCTTTACCCCATAGTTGTTTCATTTCTCGTCCATCAATTCGCACAGGTAATGCTTCAACAGTCAGATTATCCCTCACTTGTACGTCATCCATCTGGATCACATGCAACGGATCCGGAATATACTTCCTCAACTGAGATACATGAAACACATCATGTAACTTTGCAAGCGACAATGATAAAGCAATCCGATAGGCTACCTCCCCTATCCTCTGCATAAACTGATACAGGCCAACAAAACTTGGAATGAGCTTCTTAGACTTCAAAGCTCGTCTCACACCAGTCACCAGCATAACTCTTAAAAACACGTGATCCCCCTCTTGGAATTCAAGTGATTTTATTCTCTTATCATGGTAACTCTTTTGACGACTCTGCGAAGCTCTCATCCTCTCTTGGATCATCTTAACCTTCTCAGTCGTCTCCTGCACAATCTCAGGTACGAGTACAACACTCTCGCCTGACTCATACCAACACAATATATTAGACGAAGACAATGATCTAGAAGGGGGTTGAATAGATCACTAATTCCTAAACAGAGTCGGCGCTTAAAAGAAATTTAGTTTTTAAAATTTTATGTGGAAGCGGCCGAGGAACTAAGGTCGTCTAAACAAATCGTTATTGAAAATATCGGATATGCGATATGTAACACCCCAATTTTAATCAGAATATTTTAATTAATTTATTTAATTGAGAATATTCGTATTTTGGGTGTTTCCGGTGATTTTTGGTGTGTTGTGTGGATTATTGAGAATTATGTAATTTGTGGGTTATTTATTTAATTGATAGTACATAATATCAATTTATTAGTATTATTATGAATTAAAAATAAATAATAGTGAAAGAAGGATAATTGGGACATTTGAGAGGAGTAAGTGAAGGCATTATGGGAAAAGCCCAATTATTTGGCCCAAGTCTAGGTTTAACAAAAAGGGAGTTCTGAAGAGTTTTAGGATTCATTTGTGTTAACCGTGAAGAATTGAGGCCAGAGAGCTCTGAAGAGGAAATTGGAGGCGGAAGCGTTGAAAGATTACCTGACAGATTCGTGAAGGTTTTGAATCGACGTTTAAGGTATGGGGAGTATAGCTTTTCATGATTTTCTATGTGTAGATTTCAATGTAGTAAGGTTGATTTAAGGGTCTCATGGGAAACTATGAGAAAAAGGGATTTTGGCCTTCGTGGCCTAAACCTATTATTGAGATTTTGACCGTGGGGAGTTATCTGGGCTAAGGAAGATTAGAAGGATATGAGAACAATGGCCTTCGTGGCCTAAATCCAGTTGTGGGGACTCTGATATTGTGGTGTAGTGGTAAGTAATCCTAACAGTAGAACATAATATGAGAAAGGGAAACGTTAGGCCTTCGTGGCCAAAACCTTGAATGGCTATATGTTCGACCCTGAAGGAATATGAATATTTGAGTGTGAGTAACTCAGGTACCTACAGGGTAATTGTAGGGAAATTATGATTTAGGGCTGAATATGTTACGGGATTGGCCTAATAAACCGTAGATTTTGTGCCTTTATCGCCGTAGGACCTTAGGGATGATTTAGGGATGTTTTGGGGGCATTAGGTAAGTGAATCGCAGAGCCTTTTGGATAGAAATCAGTTCTGGTGCATAGCAGAATTTGCTGTCATCGCACAGTTCGCCTAGCGAAGAAAGCTTCACCTAGCGAACCATGTTGTTCCCAGACTCGCCTAGCGAAGAAACTCGCCCCAGACTCGCATAGCGAACATGCCAGCGAACGTAGCAGAGTTTCACGAATGTTGATCGTGTGCAGCGATGCCTTGATGTTTGATTCTGTGATTTCTGTGATGGATTGACATGAGTGTGACTGTGAGTTTTATGTGATGTATACATGATGACATGACGATTTATATGACTTAATATGATGATATTACCATGACTTTGATGA